GAGTGGCCCCTGGGAAAAACTCATCTGCTGAAAATGCGATTTGCATCTGGCGGTTGTCAGTTACAGCAAGTGTGGAGATACATTTGCATCCACCTGCATTTAAAGCTTCCCCAAACCAGCAAGGACACAATAACCAGCCCACACCAATGTCACACAATCCGCAAACACACGACAGAACAAATCTGCATTTCATTCTTTTTCCTTTCCAGTTTAAATGCCACCATGAATTCAGCTTTGTTATCATTCCCCATTTCATTTTCCATTCAGTTCCTTGTGGAAGTTACCTGGACGTCACAGGTTTTGGCATTCAAAACATTTACATGACTATGTTTTTTTCTCTTTTTCTTCTGCTATGAGTATGTTCACATACGTGCTTAAGTAGAGAGCTTTTGAGTTTTTCAAAAGCACTTCTAAATGTGTTGGCATTACTCTGTATTGTACAAACTACTTAAACCAATTGAGGTAATTCACAAAATGCTTTTGTGAAAGAAAAATTATTTATGGGACTGAAAGCCTGAATGGCTCACCAACCAGCACTGGCGTCCAGTCAGTACATGTGTCCACTGGAAAGGACACAGTTTTATCAAGGGCATGGTACTGCCTCCTTCTGCAGGAAGACTTCAGACATGCTTTCCAAAGAACACACATAAGATAAGATAAGATCACTTTATTAGCCACATACAATTTCTTGCATTAGGAATTTGTATTTTCGCATACCCCAGATTGCTCTCCATGAGACACAGACAGGGAGAGAAGCTTGGGGTCAGCCATTTATAACCCCTGGAACAGCTGGGGTTAAGGGCCTTACTCAGGGGCCCAACGGAGTTGGGTTAAGTTAATTTCTCTCACAGCTTAAGAAGCAGTAGGGCCACAAGGAACTGCCGAGCTGGATATCTCTAGAAAGGTGATGAGTCTCATTAGGAGAAAAAACAAGGCAAGTAGATTTGACAAGAGTCGTCTGTAACAGTACTTGATTCTCATACCATATCCACCTATCCCATCCTGTCCTACCCCCTTAAAATGTCATAACACATAAAATATGGAGAGGCAAGCACCCAGAATAGTAGTCTGAGGACATTACTCCTGTCAAAACACTCACATTCCTTCACACCAGCACTTTTACAGGACTTGTCAAAAGTTATCAGTGTTGGAGCCCTGCTATGTCTCCTAGCCAGTGCAGTGAACCACTAACACTGCCCAAGTGCCCAGGCACACAACTCTGACTGTCAGATTTACAGCTAAAAGGGACTCAAAATGACTTTAAGGATCTCTGTCACACTGGCATCAAGCTTTGCCTTACAGCTTGCTGAAGGAACTGGATGACCACAAAATCAACCATCTATTAACCCACTGAAGTTGACCTCAGTCATCACTCAATCACTGAGAGTGCCACAGCACTAAAAAAAGAAAAATCACCCCAGCAGAAAGAAATGAAGGACACTAAAGAATTAACAACCTACTTTCTGTGGCACTAAATGCTACAGTTCATTTTTCAAATCTGAGTTTCCCTGTTACAAAACAAATTGAAAAAATATTGTCACAGCTGCTAGAAAACTTCTTTCTTCTTGAATTCTGGCCAAATGCAATAGAAACCAAACCGAGCCTCTTTAAAGGCAACTGAGAATGGACTGTAGGCTTATCTTTTAATACAACCATACCATGATATTGAGGTATACAGCAATTCGCAAATATTGCTTTTGAAAAGGTAACAGTAAAGCTAAAGTGCATGAAAAGGCAGCATCATCGCACATTACTACTGTGGTCACCCGATCCAATCAATCCGATACAACCTGTGTTTAGAGAAATCTTCCGTTCTCTCCCCACCTCTGTCCCACCCATCAGAACACACATGGCTGTTATGGACTATCAGAATACTTCCACACACACCAGTAAAAACAGACTCAAAGGGCAGCTTGAACTTAAAATGTTTTAAAGCAGCGGTCTTCAGATACTGTAATGTCTGGGGTGAGGGTTCACACGGAAACAGTCTTCAATTTTTAGTATGTAAAATAAGTCTTCTAGTTATTCAGGCCTTGCTTCATCAAAGGATCTTCTCTGCGAAAGGTAAGTGAAAACGTACTGCAGGGCTTTGGTTGTGTTTCTACATAGTATGCTTTAAAACAAGATTTTTTCTCTAATAAGTTTGTCATTCTGTAAAGCGCTTTGAGAAGCCACCTTTCAAGGCACTATGTAAAATAAGGTTTATGATTATAATAAGAATTAGCCCTACATTCAATACTATTAGGTCAATCCTTACTGGGGGTGACTGCCTGAAAACAAGTCAAATCTCCAAGCCAGAGAGGAACCAGAAGTCCCGTTCTGAAACTTGCCTATCCAGTTTTGCTTGGTACTGCACGATCCACAAATAATACACGAACGCATAAACTTCTCAGTCTTTCAAAAATTAAAAACAACAAAGGGCAATTTAACCAGCATCTTGAGAAAATGAGTCTGCTTCAATATTCTTTGATGTTTTTTTTTTAGTTCAAAGGGAAAGGTTCCGTTATCCTTCAAAGAAGGGAAAGAAAAAAATTTCAAAATTCATGAAGCCCACAGAATTCCTCCTGGACCAGAAACCCGTGCAGCTGCTTTCTGAGCCTCTGCCAAATGTGGCGAGACATCGTGGGTTAATCCCAGGACACAGCCGCGGAGTTTGTGTACCAACGCCCTCTGTGGTCTATGGTTCACTGGGCCAAGAAAAACTGCAACATCAGTGAACGCTATACCAGCAAAGGAAGCACAGTGGTGCTCAAACATTAACACTGGGAAAAATAAAACTCAGTGTTTCAAACATTTGAGGAAGAGATCAAAAATATAAACTAAGGAATATTCAACCTTGTTGACCTACAAAACACAAAAGGATTTTCAGCAGTAGCACAACTCACTGACTTGTTACATGAGATTCCTATCAGATGTAACAAAGGCAACAGTAATAAACAGCTAAAAATAAAGGGGCACGAACAAAGAATTAAGAGGTCAGCTTGACTTTTCAGGAGGTGAAGGGACACATTTGAATGTTAAAAGTCTACAGACTTTGTAGGGACCCTGCTGACATTTTCACAATGCACTCCTTAAGGTGCCGTCACAGACATTGTGTTAGGGTTTCTGCAGCCTCTGCACAGACGCCAAAAAGTATTTTTTGAGTTACAGTCATGACAAAACAAATCTGAGAAAAAGCTTCGACTTTGTAAAAGTTTGTGAGATCATCTTATGTTGCTTTTTCTGCTTTCAAATCTGCACTACCCTTTCCCTGAAAACAGTGTCCCATGTGGTACTAACAGAAAAAAGTCCACAAACATGCTGTAAAGCACAGATAAATGAGTTTACTCCTTCCAGAGTTTAGATTTGAATTTATGGCTGCAGAATTACAACTGTCTGTGCAAAGATTGACGAAACACACAGACTCAGCTATCTAAAATATATTGCCCCCTGGAGTGGTACTGGTTGTTATCTTATACCTTATTTAGTACAGTTTCCACCCCCAAGACAACTTCCATGAAAAAAATGCCTTCAAAATGTGCTGTTTTTTTTTTTTTTTTTTTAAGTCTTGCAGGTTTAAAACTCGGCACGATACAAGGGCAGCACCAAGTGAGGGAAGCGGTTTTCTTGCTTCACTTCAGGAAAAGAGGCTAGAGTGAGTGACAGAAAGATTCCAAGCTGAGAAAGTCATCCAGGATGTGTACAAACAGTTTGATCCATTTGATTCCGTCTTTCAATAGCTGTTCCCTCTTGTGCATTTATCCTCCAAGCGTTCTACCACTGACCAGGTAATTTGTCCTCACTATCACGCACTCTCAAGCTAGTTCAGGGTTATGGAGAAAAATACAACAATGAGCAAAGACATTCGAGCGAAATCAACATCTTATTCCGTCTAAGGTGCAGAATCAACCTCTCATGCAAACACACACTCCAACACTCCACTGTATACATATTTGGAAAGATACAACATCATTTTTTTACCCACTGCTTTAAATAAGGTCTCAATCTTAAAAATATAATTAAACCGATAAAGTTAAATTCACATCTGACTCCGAAATCCTATTTACTTAAATATACATAGCCTACTACAAATCCTTTAATCTCCTTCTAAACATTGAGTAGAACTCGCAATTACCACTGCACCATAACTCCCCCAGTATTCTTACAAGTTGGACTATTTAGTTTCTGCTCCTTAGAAATTGGGGACTTGAGAGGCTATCAGAAAAGGGAGAAACTGCAAGTACGTAAAATGCGATTCTCTGGAGGAAGCAAGCTTCCGGGCCGTACAGTGCAGGAATCATATCAACACGGAGAGACCGAAACGCTGAGCTGTGCTGAAGTGGAGGTTACAGTCAGGAGACACACACACTGTGTAAGTGGCAAAGCAGAGGTCAGCAAGCGGCTTTGTTCCTGCGGGGTTGCTCGGCAGGGAGTCTCACCTTTACCATGGCAGCCGGTGGGGAGACAGTGAAAAAAGAACTGGGCTGCACTCAAAACTCAGAGGTGGGGGAGGTGGGGGGGGGGGGCAATTGGCCATCGCGAGTGAAAGCCAGCCTGGATCTCACTATTGTTTTTAGTTCAAAAAGGCTGAATGAAAGGAGAAAGGAGCGCATGAAAAAGTTCAGAAACTAAGCACTAAGTGAATGAGAACAATTCTTTAGTGACATGAGCATTTCCCCTTAGAGTTATGTGATGTTACAGTAAAAGTTAAAATTCCGATGTGTTTTAAGAATCCACCGAACCTTTTAAAAAGTATTATGTAAGTATTCATTCAAAGTAACAAAATTGTAGTTCTACATTTTCTTTCTGCATCACCTCCTACATTTAATAAGGGATATTCCCAATCAATCCACGTTTGTTCGGATACCCAAGATCTAAAGACCGAAACACTCTCTCATTCTTAAATCCGAGGACACAAATACAAAATCCGAATCAGTAATTCAACTGTGCTTTCCACGAGCAATGAGAGACCCTCTTTTAAAAACGCCAAATCCCAAAAGGTAACCAACTGTCAGACTTACCCATAACAGGGGGAAAAAAAATAGGAAAAAGCACAAACGCTGCCAAGGACTTCCAGGGAAGCTGATCACTTTATTTAACCTTCCTGTTTGAAAGCTCCGCTGTTATTCCCAAGGGTGAGCAACGCAACATGAAAATCCTTCACACATGTTTGTGTGCATCCTGCATGTTTAATAAGTGCAGCAGCCTCAGGTGTGAAGAGAAAAAGGAGGAAGGCGCTCTGAAGCGGTTATTTAATCCATCAGCCTAAACCGAGTCCAGAAGGCGGCCAACTCGTTATTCAAAAGGCAAAATTGTCGATTAGGGATCCACGATCACCTCCTGATGCAGCGGTGAAGGTTGCTGTCCTGAGAGCTGCCTCTTCTCTGAGCCTAATCCTTGAACAGTGTCTGTTGCAGGGACAGGCAAGGGCGGAGTCTCAGCCTACTGGGATGGCCACAGGTGTTGGATTTCACTGAAGGGGGTTGGGGGAATGTGAAGCAAACCTGTGTGCATACACGGCAAGCCCGTGGGTGAGCACCTGCCCGTCTGCTCGCGCAGGTAGGAGACGGGCTCCCGAGCCGCACACCTTCACAGCAGAAGGAAAAGCACCGGCATCGCTTCATCTCCTTCCAGAATTAATTTTAGCAGGTTATCGGACAAATCTGGTGCAAAGGCAAAGGCAAAATCAACTTACCAGCAATAAAAGCAACGTAAGGATTAAGATGCAGCGATGGAGACTGCAATGGAACATTACAGGGCTTCACTGTGGCAGCCTGAATTTTTTATGCATTCGTGTATCACTCTGCTTACAAGCAGATGGAACTACACCTTGCACATGCTGAACCGAAAGCGTTCAAAGGCACTGAAGCCAACAGTTCCTTCCCTCTCTCTTTGGATCCTCGAAGCTCAAACTCAAAAACACGCTTCGCTACTCCTACACTCCCCAACAGGTTGCATCATTTTTTCAGCGAGACCGTAACTGTGGACAGGATGGCAGGAGGGCGGAACCTTCCTTAACCTTAATATTGGCATTGTGAATTCTGCCGCAAAGGTTTAACAAACAAAAAAAAACAGTCTTGTGATTTACTGACACACGTTACACACCACTTGGTGCTCCTAGGAAATGATCACAACAGCCAGCCCTTGGTAACTGCTTGAATATGGCGCATTCGTTAATTTAAAAAAAGTCAAAACTAAAGACAGCAGGAACATACCCAATTAGGAAGCCTTGAGGATATATCTCTTTGGACCTCCTCAGACCATAAAGGGATCTTTTGATCTAAAAATGTTTACCAGCTATTCGATGTTCCTCCATCACTCCGTTTCCGCTACAGCCTTGATCATCATTTTGAAAGCCAGCTTTTCAAGAGAGAGCATGTTCTCTACCAACCCCAGCAGCTCCCTCAGGCACATGTTAAGAGCTAGCCCCCTGGGGGCGAGTAACTAAAATACCCCCAACTGTCTGCTACTCCAGCTTGCCTGTACGTTGTAACGCAGTTCTAAGTATTTTTTATTTTTCTGAACCACTGATAAAAGTTTTGACATTGCGCTGTGAAATCTACTTCAGTTCAGGTTTATAAAGACACATTCAACGATACAGCACACAACGTATAAAAGACAGGAAGGGCCTGTTCCTGCTTTGTTCACTCTAATGACGTATACTGCTGGCAGCCTAATAGAGTCACGTCACCTGGGAGTTAAACAGATGAGGTGAACGAGGGACTGGGATCTTCATAGTGAGGATTTTGTTTTTAAAAAAAGCTAAATAGTAAACACAGTAAACACCCAGTTTTAAGGCTTTAAAAACCTGCTAATAGAGAATCTTGTCTGTAAAATCAGAAAGACAGGATTTTCTGTGCAACAAAGGTAGGCAAATTGCATTCATGTTTTGGTATGCTTTAGAGAATTTCATACAGTATATTTTTGACACGTTTAAAAAAGAGCTTGTATATTTATGATTAAAAGCAGACAAGAACAATTTTCATTGTGGTGTGATGATTGTGGCTGTGGTGACAATTTTTAAAAGATCCAGAAAGCATATCTATATATAGTATATATTTCTCATATAATAGTTTGTTTTGGGGCTTAAAAAATGCCCATTCAATTCTGAAAGCAATATGGCAATAATGGACACACCTTCCTCACTATTAGCCTGGCAAATGGAGGCTTTACTGTAATACAATAATACAGAATGTGGAGCAAACTGTATAAAAATACAAGGCGTGCTCTTAAACTGAGCTTCCTTCAAGCCTGTGAAAAGTCTTTAATCCCTATGAAAACGATGGAAATGTCTTGGCAGCAGCTGTAATCGAGCACGATTCCAAAAAAGGGTTCGGACACACTCCATTTTTAAAACAGCTGCTGACCGACGCTTCTTGATCTCTTGGTTTTGTGGGCAGTGTTCACCTGTGCGCAGTTTCATAGCACATTCACTCGATCTCATGAGACGGGGGCGGACTTTATTCGCAGACCCCAGTCCGCAGCGCAGCGATGGTGTGAGAGAGCCGGGGAGAGACGGCTCGCTCCCCCATGTCTCCCCCAGTCCTGTAGCCCTGCCAGCTCCACGTGAAAGTCAAAGCGCTGCTCTCCTCCAGATCCGATGTGAACACCGAAGCTGACAGGGACTTTTATGCGATCACAGCGGTTCTTGAACCCTTGGGAGGTTCAGTGATTCCACTTCGGTGACAATGAAAATTGCTACATAAACTATTATGACAAGCAAAGAAGCAAAAAAAAAAGGGGAGATGGCTATTATTTCTTGACCATTTATTAAGCACAACGCTTCTGGAGGATGTATTATTCGTCTCCCCAAATAAGACAATTATTTCCCTGTTGAGCTATGCAGTACGCAAGACAGAAAACAACAGAACCTCGATAAGAACAAGAAAAGTACAGTCAGGAAGGATTAACTCAGGTGGTTTAATCTAGTCGTGATCCCAAAGAATCTGGGGCAGGCCTTCTCTACAGTATTAAAGGAGGATAAATTTAGATGATCAAGATCTAATAATTGTTAGACTGCGTGGGACTTATCTAGGACAAACATTATATAAATTGCTTGCTTTTACAATAAGGCACTATGGGTATATCCCATTCAGGCACACCAAGTCTGCTATTTTGAAAACAAGCCTGCTATTCTATTCCTGGCACCAAGACTGGTTCCAGGAAGAATCTGCATCCTCTGAATGAGAGAGGTAGCTAACTGAGCAGAATTACACTGAGAATCCAAAAAACCTCTCAGCCCACCAGCTGAATCACACCTTATTAGATAAATTACAATCATCACTACCATTATGGCATTACTACAACGAGACTTAAGTGCGAAGTAATGTTTGCTTGTTTCCAAGAAAAGAGCTCAAGAGGGATTTCTCAAGATCTTAGAAGAGCACATACATTACTGTCAGGCCGCCTTCACATGACAGAGAGGACAAATCTCAGCAGCATTAGACTGGCAAGTCGTAAGACGTCCCCTACTTAAAACACAGGGAGGACTTTGCACCCAACACGAAATCACTACACTTTCACAAACTGTAAAATCCTTCCAACTCACGGCTATACCTCACATGCCCATAAAAGGGAAGTGGTTTCTCAGAAATCTGTGAAAGATTGAGCAATATTTATTAATCAAGCTGGCTAACCACAACTGGAGCTGTCAAGAGTCAGAGCCAGACACAGCAGCGTCTCTCTGGCACCAGGTCAGCCTGTGTGATACGTGTCACCTAGCAGGTACAGCCTCTCTTAGGTAAGAATATGACAGCAATTAAACACATAAGTAGAGATAACTGGGATACACCAGCATCTATCTGGCCACAAACTACACCGTACCTCACACCATAAACAAAAACAGTTCACTGCTTTTGAAACTTTTTATTTACGTTGTCTGGGAAATTCCTCTGCCTCAGGACAGTTTGCTTTCGCCAGGTCTGCCCTTCAGGATTGCAAATGCTGTTTACTTCACACGCTCTCCCGCAGAGCCATTCTGAGCAAGTCTTTACTGCCACACCGTGAGCAACGCACTGCGATTATAAGTAACCTGGTAACCAAGAACAGTTAGCGTTTGCATTCTCCGTGCGTACAAAACATCAGCTTTCTCTCTCGGGCTTGAAAAGCCACAGGTTACTTCCAGAGATCAGCCGTTTCCTTGAAGGCTTCTAGCTCTCTTCAGACACTGAAACTCCGTATTTATCGTGTCTGACGCTACCAGTTTCAAAATCTAAAGCTTATTAACATTTCACTATCCAGATTCAATTGTTGTTGTTTTTTTCCAGGAAGTCAGAAAATCTCAAATGAAGGCTTTCAGTGTGTTGTCCTGTCCTGGGGAGGGCCACAGCAACAGAAAACCGACTGCAACAGTGAAAGCCGGGACTGGAAATTATTTCTGCAGTGTTAAAATTTAACTTTCCCGTGTGGGTTCCAAAACTGCCATTGCAAGGTTAAATATGGGCAACACAGGGATCCGAATGGCTAGGTGTCTGGTGTACAAACAAGAATGCCGCAACTGTTGCTAAAATGCCCACTGCAAATTAAACAGACTGCTAATCCCATTGAGTATCACAGCTTTCAATACCAAAAGAAATCGGCTCAAGTTACTTGCACACATTATGATCTTAAGCTAGAGATACTCACTTAAGTATTTTTGTACAGATAGGAAAATATATTTTTTTTCTATTTAAATAGGCTATATCTAGTACAAATACTTATCTAGTCTTGCGCTGAAAAATCCAATCCGTGGCGCACAACTATCCAGAGAAGTAATCCAATGTAATATCAAAGGAGTTTCTAGACAGATGGAGACAGGCTGAACGATGTAACTAAAGGCTGCTGGAGTCAAATACGGAAAATGTGCATTAGAATATACAGGTCAAGGCCTACCCATAATCTTAAACCCTTTATGTCAATAAAAGTTACATTTACGATACAAAGCGGGAATGATAAACACAAGTGCACTGTAGTGTCTGTGTGGTACAGACTTCAAACTGCATGCAGGCATTGCCTGGTCGGCACTCCAGTGCCGCTGGGTATTTCTGACAAACAGCAGGAAAGGTCTAAGTGATGGAAAAATACTTTATTATATTCCCTTAACCGATGCTTTGAAACTAAACTTCACAAGCTACAGCGTAAAACACACACACACAGACAGAACCTGGTAACTGTGCACCAGGTGTGTTATTTCAGTAGAAGCTGCCGGTTCTACTCGGATTGGATCAAGGCTCCGGTTGTTCCAAAACCCCACCAATTCCCCTTTTCGGAGTCCGAGTTTTTGAGAGACATTAGGACCGGCCTACCTGAGGAATAAACAATGTTATCCTGCTGTCGCTATACAAACCCCAACAACTGGTGCCCTGCAATACAGTAGTGGTGGCAGACACCCCAAAGCAAAGTATTAAAAT